GACACAATGAAGGAGGTTCTAAGAGGCAAGTTCACAGCACTAAGTGACTACATAAAAAAAAGGAAGAGCTCTCATACTAGCAACTTAACACCACATCTGAAAGTTGTAGAACAAAAAGAAATCACACCCAAAAAGAGTAGACAGGAAGAAATTATCAAACTCAGGCTTAAATCAATAAAATAAAAACAAAGAAAACAATACAAAGAATCAATGAAACAAAGAGTTTTTTTTTAATTAATCAGTAAGATCAATAAACCCTTACCCAAATTTACTAAAAGGAGAAGCAAGTTTCTAAATTAACAAAATCAGAAATGAAATGGGGGACAGAACAATAGACACCAAGGAAATCCAGAGAATATAAGGACATACTTTAAATCTATACCCCACCAAAGTGGAAAATCTAAAATAAATGGATAATTTTCTTGATGGGTAAGGTGCTACTTACCAAAGTTAAATCAAGCTCAGATAAACAATTTAAACAGACTATAACCCCTAGTGAAGTATAAGAAGTCATTAAAAGTCTACCAACCAAAAAAAAAAAAAAAAAAAAAGCCCAGGGCCAGACAGTATTAGTGCGGAATTCTAATAGACATTCAAAGAAGAGTTAATGTCTATACTTCTCATACTCCAAAAATAAAAACAGAAGGAAAATCTCACAATTCATTTAATGAGGCCACAATTACCTGATATCCAAACCACATAAACACCCAACAAAGAAAGAGAATTACATACCAATTTCCTTTATGTACATAGATGCAAAAATACTCAAAATACTTGTAAACCAAATTCAGAAATACATCAAAAAGATCATCCACCATAATGCAGTAGGGATGGTTCAATATATGAAAATCAACAAATGTAATCCATCATATAAATAAACTGAAAGAAAATAAAAACCACATGATTATCTTATCAGATGCATAAAAGGCCTTTGACAAAAATCCAACACCCCTTCATGATAAAAGTCCTAGAGAGATTAGGGACACAAGGGACATATTTCAACATAAATAAAGGAAGTTTACAGAAAGCCAGTAGCCAACATCTACTTAAATGGAGAGAAACTCAAAAACAATCCCACTAAAATCAGGAACAAGACAAGGTTGTCCATGCTCCATACCTATTCAATATAGTATTTGAAACTTTAACTGGAGCAATAAAACAAGTGATAGAGATCAAAGATATACAAATTGGAAAGGAAGAAGTCTAAGTATCTTTATTTGCAGATGATATGATAGTTAATATACATAAGTGACCCTAAAAATTCCACTGGGAAACTCCTACAGTTGATAAACACTTTTAGCAATGTAACGAGATACAAAATTAAGTCTTTTGTAGTCAGAGAGATCAGCAGTCCTCCTATATACAAATGATAATTAGGCTGAAAAAGAAATCAGGGAAACAACAACTTTCACTATAGCCTCAAATAATATAAAATATCTTGAGGTAGTTTTAAGCAAGCAAGTGAAAGACTTGTATGGTAAAAATTTTAAGACACCAAAGAAAGAAATAGAAGATATCAGAAGATTGACATTGATGTCCCATCTTTCCAGATCTCCCATGTCCATGTATCAATAAGACTGACATAGTAAAAATGAATATTCTATCAAAAGCAGTCTACAGATTCAATGCAATCTCCCTCAAAACTCAAACAGAATTCTTTACAAATCTTGAAAGGCAACTTTTACCTTCATATGGAAACACAAAAAACTCAGGATAGCTAAAACAATCCTGAATAACAAAAGATATTCAGGAGATATCACCATTTTCAATGCCAAGTTATACTATAAAGCTATAGTAATAAAAAGGGCATGATATTGGCTCAAAATATACATGTTGATCAATGGAATTGAATTGAAGACTCAGGCATAAAGCCACATACCTATGGACTCCTGATTTTTGATAAAATATCCAGAAGTATACACTGGTAAAATGGTGCTGGTCAAATTGATGGCTGCGTTCAATTAGATCCATATTCACCACCCTGAACAAAATTCAACTTAAAATTGATCAAGGACCTTAACATAAAACCAGATTCACTGAACTTTAAGGAAGAGAAATTGGGGAATAGCCTTGAACTCATTGACACAGGAAAAGACTTTCTGAACAGAACACTTTTAGCACAGGCACTAAGAGCAACAATCAAAAAATAGGACTTCTTGAAACTGAAAATCTTATGCAAAGAAATGGATACAAAGCAGTAGCCTACAGAATGGCAAAAGATTTTTACCAAATACACATCCAATGAAGGACTAATATCCAAAATATATAAAGAATTCAAAAAGTAAACTAACAACCCAATTAAAAAATGGAGTATTGATAGTAATTGCAGTTCCTAAATTTGTTGATCTGCTTGGAGAAAACCACTCCATAAATATAAAGATGACATTTCTTCTCACTCATTTTGGGCTTAATACCATTCAAAAGACTTATACTATTTCAGTGTAAAAGTCACAAACTTCTTTGTTAACTTATTTCTATTTTATTTCTTTTGTATGACTGCAAATAGTTGCTTTCTTAATTTCATTTTTGTATTGCTTTTTGCTTCTAATTGTGTGTGTGTGTGTGTGTGTGTGTGTGTGTGTGTGTGTGTGTGTGTGTGTGTTCCAAGAATTCCTTAGGGTTAATTTGTAAGGGTACATCATTAGCAAACAGAGGTATCTTTACTTTCCCCCTTATAATTTATTTAATTTCCTGTCTAATTCCCTGGCCAGAATCTCTAGTACAATGCTGAGTGGGTAGAAATATTAAGATTGAAAAGGTCAAGCATAGTATACCTGAGACTGCAATTGTTTACAAGGCCTATTTGTAAGGCTGGCTCTTGGATGGCATCTTGAGAAGATGGATTTCAGTGAGGTTTCCATCATTGTTAGATGAATCTGGCTCACTATGTCCCAACTGCTAATGCAAATAAACTGTGCTGAATATATATATATGATTTTCTTTTGGGAAACTGGAAGTTGGTACATGTTAGATAAATGATGTCTACATCAATAACTGCCAATAAATTTTGGACTCCTCAGTTTAAAAGAGCTTTCCAGATCCACATTTCAGACACATTGTTACACACATGTTGCTAGGGAAATTCAGTATGCCCTGTGTGGTTGCAGTGAGAGAACTCTTGAAAACTTCCACGGAGTTTCCTTAACTTCCATGCCTGCCCTTTTCCCTTTGTTGATTTTGCTTTATCTCTTTCTGCTGCAACAAATTGAGCCTAGCGAATCAGCAAACCTGGACCAGCTTTGCTGAGCTTTTAGCACATTTTGTTATTGTTGTTCCTGATCTTAAGAGTAAAGCAGGTAGTCTGTCAACATGGTGTTAGCTATAGGATTTTCCACAGATGCATTTTATCAAGACGATAAAGTTCTCCATTTCTTCTTTTTTTGCCTTTATTTTGAGGGAAAAAAATTGTATTACTAGCTCAGCCTGACTCTGTGATCACCATTATACTCCTTTCCCAGTGATAGGGTTACAGACATGTGTCAATATTACTGGTATATTCTATTTATAACGGAAGTTGTTTATTTTCCCCCCAAAGGGTGCTGGATTTTGTCAAGTAGCTTTTTGGCAGTCATCGATGATGTAGGCGTTGTCCTTTGTTTTACTAACATTCTATTACATTAGTTTTTGCATATTAAACAAATCACACATTCCTAGGGTAAATCAGGCCAGGTGTCAGATTTCTATGATAGAAAATGGCCAAATAAACACACAATTAAACATAGTGCTAATAGGTGCTGCTAAATGAAAAAAAAGGTGGGGGGTAAGAGAGAGCAAGATGGAAAGGTGCAATTAGAACTATTTGGGTAAAATTTACCAGAGAGAATACTAATTTGATCAGAAATATGAATGATGAAAGGGAGACATGGAGTGGGAGACAATTCCAGGTGGAAGAAGTTCAGGCAAACTGAAAATGGCGAGAAGCAGGAACAAGCTTACTGTCTTTAGAGTCATAGCCTCAACAGCAAGATGTCCACAATGGTCCAAACAATGATCAACATGAAAACAGATCCCACAAGGAACCTGTGGGTCACCACAGAGAAATTTCAATTTCGTTACAGTTGTGAGTGGAAGGCATTTCCAGCATACTTTCTCAACCAGCTTAGGCGGCTTTACCCATATCCCTCCCTTTATCTTAGAAAATCTAGAATCATCTCTGGGACGTTATTCTTAACTTCCCCGAAAGGCTAGGCACCTCTCGGTCTCTGCTACCTCTGATTAGTCAGTGAAATAGCACTGATTTATTCTGGGCGCTTAGGGAGTTAATGTGTTTGTTTCACACACCCTGTCTCTTCTACAGCTGTAGCCCCAGTGGCTAACTTTGCGGTGGTTAGTTAACCCATGTCCAATGAAAAGAACAACTCTCAACTCCTTCGGCGCTGCCAGCTCCTTCGCACAGCTCCGTGCTGTACGCGGAAGCGCTGGGCAGCGGTTGCCTTGGGACACTGGCAGCATCATGACCTCAGTGCACCTCTGCACCCACCAGCAGCAGGGTTTGCATTTCAGGGATACAACCTGGGCTGAGGAAGCCTCCTGGGAAACACGTCCGCTAGGCTGCCAAGTGCCTCTCTCTGCTCCTCCTTGCAGGTGTGAGGCGAGCCTCCCGAACTCTCAGCACCTGGCCAGACACCCCCTTTTCTGCAGAATTCGCAACAAGCGATGGCCCGTGCCGTCAGGTCCAGCTCCCTGCAGTCCAGCCAGCGCCCGCCCATTGTCCTACCCCACTCACCGAGGATGCGAGTGATGCCCAGGGTCAGCTTCTCCAGGTGCGGCTTGCTGCCGGCTTGCAGTGGGGGCTGCATCTCCTCCATGGCACGCGTCCCCCCTCCGCGCGCGGCGGCGGCGGCGGTGGCGGCGGCGGTGGTGGTGGCAGTGACCGGCGCCGCCGTGGAGAGCCGGCTTGCCGGCTGACGCGGCCGACCCCGCCTCAGCTCTGCGGCCGTCGGGCTCACGGCATGCCGGGAGTTGTAGTTTTCGGCGCCTGAGGGCTCGGCCAGGAGAGGATGGGCGCCCCGGGGGGCTCTGGCTGCAGCAGTTCCGCTGGGCGCTCGTTCCCGCGACCCTGGCCGGGGCCTCACCTCACATCTCCGCGACCCCGCCTCGCCTCGGCCGGGAGCCTCTGCCCTCGCCAGGGTCGGAGGCGCAAGCGGGGGCGGGCCTCTGCGCCGAGCGGCCAATGGGGACTGAGCCTGGCGGCCGGGGCGTGGCGGCCCCGGCGCGACGCTTCGAGTGGCGGTTGTTTCAAGATGGCGGGCGCGGCGGGCCCCTCCCTGCCCGGCTCGGCGTTCTGGAGCCGCGACGGTATCCTTTGCCCGGCTGCTAGGGGGCGCCGCGCCCTCCGGGGTGGCGAGGGTGGGGGCGCGAGGCTTTCAGTGGGTCGGAGCAGCGCGGCGCGCACCCGGGGCCAGGGACGGGCCTTTTCCACTTCCAGCGGGGTGTCCCCGCGCCTGGCGACGAGGTGTTGCTAGGTGGGAATTCTGGCTCCTGAGAAATCCGCCCTCCTTGACTGTGGGTTCTGCAAAGATGGCCTTTGATGGGGGTGTCTCAGGCACGGCTGGAAAAGCTCCTCTGCCAACCCTTGCCGAGAGGTCACTGGTTGGTTGATGGAGGGTGCCAAGTGAGTTTGTAGTGGTAGGGAGGGCAAGTGTGGGTGGACACACTTTTGCTAGGTGGGCTGCGAGTCTTTTTCTCGTGATTTGGAATTCCCTTGAGTGTGCGCCACTAGGAGCAAATCAGGTGATTTTATTGGCTTCTTGCACTTGTAAGGTCCTTTAGTGATGCTGTATTTTCTAGGACGAGCCCTGCTGGTGCTCGTTAGGGAATACACTAGGAAGTGCCTGGAAGCAGTGTTGACTTACTAGGTTGTGCGTCACCCTTGTTGAAAATTGAAGTTTGGGAATTGTTTTTGCTCAGGAAGCTGTGGAGCTTTGTAGTCGCGCAGTAGTTAGAATTCTCGGTTCAATAGCTGATGAGATTTCACAGTAGTTCATTTCTAGGATTAGGTTAGCTCTTGCATCCTAAGCTTTCATCCATGCTATGTACTTCCTTGCTAGAGGGGCATTACTAGAGAGGAAATGTAATCAGTGTTCCCAAGTGCCTGAAAAGAGGCCAGTTGGTTTGCTAGGTGTAGTGATGACATTGTTTTTAGGTATTACTGTTACCTTTGGCAAAATCATTCTGGACATTCTATTCGTAGCTCCCAGTGAAACTTAGAAAATGGTATTACCAGTTTCCTTTATTGAATTACTTGGGTTAGAGTTTCTTGGGTGCAGACAGGAATACGTTTGCATTCTGTGCGGCTGAGTGTTTAGTGCTGTGCACTTACTAAACAGAATTACTGCTTGTCTCTGATAGGTGGGCGAGAAGCAAATGAAGTTACCTCATGTACGGTAGAAGAAAGCATACCAGTGTACTCTCAAAGGGAATTTTTTTCCCCTTTACTTATTAGAGTTGAAAAGCAAATGTGTGCATGAGGACCGCTGTGCTGAAGTAGGAACTCAGGAAATTGGGATCCGTCTTTTCCTTAGGAAAAAAGAGTTATTTGCTTATAACAGCTAATGGTATTTTTCTGACATACAGTGGAGGAGATGACAGTCTGTTTCACTGGAACTGAACAAATTCACAGTGTGTGGTCCAAACCTTTGCTTTTGTTGTTAGCAGCCTTGTACTCATTTATGTAGTCATAACACTAGTCATTTGCTATAGAAGTAATACTATATTCCCTACCTTTTACATTTTCTCTTGAGCTGAATAGTTACTGTAAAACATTCAGACCTATCTACTCATGATGAGAAATTGAAATTGTATGGAAAATGTGATGGTAATTAGGTTCTATAGAAATTCATATATAAGAAAGGAATTGCAAAGTTATTGGTATCGCCTTTTTCTTCAGCCTATTCCATCTAATGACCAATTAACACTCAGCTTCTGATAGTTTCATTCTAAATCTCCATAGGGCATACAGCTGTGTTAAATGTACATTGTTGCTATTTGCTGAAAAATGTAATGATAATTATGGGCCATTTGGTCTTTGAATCTTGATTTCTTTCTGACACATTGGTGATTATTTCCCAGACCACTCCAGAGTAAACTTCCACTAGGATAAAGTCAGAAAGTATGCACCTATGACCTGGTATTCTTTGCACATTAGTGAATAAAAGATTTTCAGTGCTTCACTTAAATGATTAAATAAATGTGATTGAGAGATTTCTCAATCCTAGAAGTTTTCATCATGAGAGAGCAGATAATCAATGATGGATCATCACCTTTAAGAAGAGTTGTAACAACTGCATATTTTGAGTCAGCAGTGCTATTTGACACAAGGTATTGGCATCTAATGTGTGAATAATGAGGATGCCACATTGCATCTTATGGGTTAAATCTTCTGGTAAACACAATTTTTTGGTCGTGAATTTCTTTGCTAATCTATATTGTTCATAGTAGTGTTAGAAGTGGATGGATACTCTTTCTACAGTATCTAAATTTGATTACTAATGTGCACTTGCTGGGTTAACAGAATTAATAATAATATAAACAAATATGAACTACAAGGGAGTGGCCCAAAACATTGCAATAATTATCATCTCTGTCATTGAGTTTTCAAGTAAAAATAGATTGAGACTTTACATTGCTATAAACCTAATTTACCTCAAAACCTCTGTGGTAAATAAGAATGACATATACCTGTGTTGCTGGCAAGTGATTCCCTATTCAGAGTTAGAGAACAGTAAGCAATACTTAGCTTAGTTCTTTCGCGTGCTGCTTCCTCTATACCACTTCTGCCCTGGCTTCCAATTACTATTTTCCTTCTGGGGATGTAGCTGTGTTGTTATCATCATCGAAAATATTTTGTAACTTGCAGTAATTCTTGTTGAAGTACTTCTAACTAGAGAAATAAGGTGGCATGCAGGTCCAATATACATTTGATATACCTTCTGTCTTTTTGATCTTTCTAAAAAAATATAGCTTTGTTGGGAGATTCTATATAAATTAAATATTTGAGTTCTTAATGAGACAAAATAGGTTGTTACATGTTATTGGAGGAGACAACTTTCAATGCTAGTTTTAAAAATGTTTGTTGAAATTAGTATTTAGAGTTGTTGGGCTCATGGCTCATAAAAATAGTTATCAGTGTTATCCCTTTGTAGATGGCTTAGTAAAAACCAGATATTCTTTTTGTTTGGGAATTCATACAAAATTGAATATACAAGATGAAAATCATCTTTTTTGGTCTTAACATTTTAAAGATATAAGACTGAAAAATGAAATGCATGCATCTACTAATAATAAGTGCTTCAGAGAAAAATAAAATAGGAAAAGGCCGAGGGAAGGGAGGGGTCACAGTTGGAGAGAATTGTGCAGTTTTAAGTATATGTGTGGTTAGGCAAAGAAGGCCTCAGTCAAAAAGTGATGTATGATCAAGGGCTTAAAGATAATGAATGAGTAATATGAAGATTTTGAGAAAAAGCTATCTAGCTAAAGAAATCATAAATGCAGGAGCTCTAACACAGGAGCTTATGTAGTCACTAACAAATTCATGGATGCTAGGAGTGAAGGGGAAGTATATTAAGAAATGAAAAGAGAGATAGGGTGGAAAGATCAGATCTTGAGCATTATAGATGTCATACTTGGATTTTTATTCTTAATAGAAATGATATAAGATGTTAAAATGTTCATTCTGGCCTCTATTTTTATTTTTATCTTTTTAAAAATTGTTTTATTCATTTTACATACCAACCACAGATCCCCCTTTCATCCCTCTCCCTGCCTGCCTTCCCCCCCCCCCCCAATCCCTTCTTCCAACAGGGTAAGTTCTCCCATGGGGGGGACAGCAAACAGCAAAGACGTAAAGTTATTGTCATACAGGTCTTTCACTTGTTTGGTTAGAGTTACCCCAAGGTATTTTATATTATTTATGGCTATTGTAAAGGTGATGTTTCTCTGATTTCTTTCTCGGTCTATTTATAGGAGGACTACTGATTTTTTTGAGTTAATCTTGTATCCTGCTACATTGCTGAAGGTGTTTATCAGCTGTAGGAGTTCGGGTCACTTATGTAGATTATCATATCTGCAGATAGTGAATGTTTGACTTCTTCCTTCCCAGTTTGTATCCCCTTGATCTCCTTTTGTTGTCTTATTGTTCTAGCTAAAACTTCGAGTACTATATTGAATAGATATGGGGAGAGTGGACAGCCTTGTCTTGTTCCTGACTTTAGTGGAATCGCTTTGAGTTTCGCTCCATTTAATTTGATGTTGGCTGTCGGCTTGCTGAAAATTGCCTTTGTTATGTTTAGGTATGTTCTTTGTATTCTTGTTATTTCCAGGACCTTTATCATGAAGGGGTGTTGGATTTTGTCAAAGACTTTTTCAACATCTAATGAGATGATCATGTGTGTGTGTGTGTTTTTTTTTTTCTTTCAGTTGGTTTATATGGTGGGTTACATTGACAGATTTTCACATGTTGAACCATCCCTGCATCTCTGGGATGAAGATCATGATGGATGATTTTTTTTTTTAAATGTGTTCTTGGATTTGGTTTGCCAGTATTTTATTGGGTATTTTTGCATCAATGTTCATGAGGGAGATTGTTCTGTAATTCTCTTTCTTTGTTGCATCTTTGTGTGGTTTGGGTATTGGGGTAATTGTAGCCTCACAGAAAGAGTTTGGCAATGTTCCTTCTGTTTCTATTGTGTGGAACAATTTGAAGAGTATTGGTATTAGCTCTTCTTTGAAATTCTGGTAGAATTCTGCACTGAAACTATCTGGCCCTGGGCTTTTTTTGGTTGAGAGACTTTTAATGACTGCTTCTATTTCCATAGTTGTTATAGGTCTATTTAAATGGTTTATCTGGTCTTGATTTAATTTAGGTATATGGTACCTATCCAGAAAATTGTCAATTTCTTTTAGATTTTCCAATTTTGTGGATTACAGGTTTTTGAAGTATGACCTGATGATTCTTTGAATTTCCTCATTGACAATTGTTATGTCTCCCTTTTTGTTTGGATATATTGTTAGTTTGGATATTCTCTCTCTGCCTTATAGTTAGTTTGGATAAGGGTTTATCTATCTTGTTGTTTTTCTCAAAGAACCAATTCTTTGTTTCATTGATTCTTTGTACTGTTCTCTTTGTTTCTATTTTATTGATTTCAGCCCTCAATTTGATTATTTCCTGGCATCTACTCCTCCTGCGTGAGTTTGCTTCTTTTTGTTCTAGAGCTTTCAGGTGTGCTGTTAAGTTGCTAGTGTGAGTTTTCTCCAACTTCTTTATGTAGGCATTTAGTGCTATGAACTTTCCTCTTAGA